CCCCAAAACCCCAAAACCCCAAAACCCCAAAACCCCTAAACTATTTTTATTTATAGAATTAATTTTACAAATGAATTCAAAAGAAGAGTTAGAGAAGGAGCTTCCTGCTAAGAATGTGGACATTGCAAAAGACATTGACAAAATTGATGAGTTCTTCAACCTCCTAAATATGATCATTGGAGGGAATGACATCAACAACCCTGGGTTAGATGGACTCTTGTCTAAAGTACTTGAGAGACATGAAGGTGACTTTTTCAATGCTTTCAACACCCATATTGCTAAAATCAAAAATGAGCTTGAACTACTTAAGAAGAAAGCAGATGATCAGGAAGAGAAAATGATCGAAGATGACAGGATTGTCAGCCTTACTAATAATCTAGCTTGGTTTAAAGAAGAGAGCCAAAGATTGAAAGAGCAAAAGTTAAAATAACGAAAAAGAGTTATCCTTGCTTTCTGAGAAAAGTAAGAAAATGAAAGAAAATAATAATTATCTTAAAGAGAAAGTCAAGTCTTCGATGAGGTAGAGTCATTTGGGCTGATCTTTAGGCAACAGAAATTACTCATGATAGCACTTGATAGAAAGAGAGAGCTTGATGAGGAGATGAATCAGCCTGAGAATGACCAAGCTGATGCTAAAAATCAAGCTAACCTTTATAATGAAATGAAGCTAGACAATGAAGTTTCAAAAATTATTTACCAAGATCCAGCTGATAATAAAAAGGTTAAAACATCGAACAAGCATTATAAGAGTATTGCAAATCAAGAGTCTACAGAGTTTGCGACTGATGAAAAGACCGCGAGGATCTCTGTCAAGCGTCACTTTGAATCAATGGACCAGAACCTGCCAACGACTGATAGCAGAGAAATTGTACTAAACACCCAGACTGTCCCTGATAATTCTCTTCAAAATGAAGATCTTTCTATCGTAAAACCTCACTTGGCCTCTACGAAGCAGGAGAAGGTGAACGAGGGGTTCATTAACTTCATTGGAGAGCTTATGTCAACCAGTGCGATCGAGGACCAAGAGATCATTACAGAAATTGAAAAGCAGGTCCTAATTGAGAATAAAGACTTTGAAGATGAACTAGGTGCTATCAAGGAAGAGACCAAGTTCATTGATGATGAAATCAGAGAGCTTAAATAAACAGAAATACTGCGTAGTATGGCCAGATAAAGACGAAAATGGGCAGCAAAAGGACCAAATTATTGACAAGAATTTCTTGCAGGAAGAGTTTTTGGGTATCTGCAAAGATGTCAGAAAGGAAGTACTGAAAACGAAATTTATTAATGGTCTCCCATCGTTAGACACTCAGATGGGCATGATTAACAATCCTCATAATGCTTCAATGATGAAACAGGATAATAATATTCAAGGGATTTTAGACCTTGTAGTGACTAATGATGACTTGATGAATAAATTCTACGATATAATATTCAACTTTGACAACCAAGCATTGAAGCTTCCGAGTGTTTCAAGAGACGATAACAAATCGTAAATTTAGATAACAACTTTAGAATCCAACAAAAGCTCAAGGGAGTAGACATTCAAGTTAGTTTTCTAGTCCTAACGTCTTAGATTGGAAAAAGAAAGTTTGCTGTATTAACTAGTGACGCTATGAATGAATCAGTCAAGAAGCCTAATATTATGAACTTTGCAGGAGGAATAGGAAAGAAATCACACGGAGGAAAGTATGACGGGCATAATCTTGAAAAAGCAGTAGATAACAAAATGAAGGTTACTTCTCAATCTATGAAGAATGCTACCAGAGAGCAACCACCTGCTTCTGAATATGACCACATTCAGCCAAAACTTCTCCCCAAGAATAACTCATCTACCATGATTGGAAAGTACAAGCAGACAATGAGCCGAGCTAGACAGAAGTCTCGTCGTCCAAATATGGTAATCAAGAATGGAAAGCTCTTAATTTCCAAGAGGAAAACCTAAAACTTAAAAGCCCAGATTATTCAATTCTTTGTAATTTCATAGGGGTTTTGGGGTTTTGGGGTTTTGGGGTTTTGGGGTTTTGGGG